TGATAAAGAAATGTTTAAGGGTGCAAAATTTTTCGCATTAAACGAACATGAGCAGAAATGGCTGTGGTGCATGATGGTTCTTTTCGTCTTTGGAGCGCCGTTCAGCGGGTCATAGTAGAAGAACAGAACAGAGCTTCAGGTACAGCTGCCTCAGATTAATCTTGGCCGTCCCGTGGACCTTCTGCCGGTTCGTTTTGCAAGAAACAGTTGCTTAGCCTTCCTTTCTGGAGACGTTCGCATCTGTGACTTCTCAGTCTGGCAAAGTAAAGTCTATACACCAAGGTTCTCTCAGATGTCTGTACTCTGGACCATGTCGAGATGCGTGAGCAAAGCGATTAGTCGCAGAAAGCTCATTTCAGCCGCTTGCACTCGGGGTCGAAGTTTTTCCGTCATAGTCCACTACTCATGACCATAGGTAATCACGGGATGAAGATCGACTTGAAAACCAAGAGCTTAGTTCTCAGACTCAGCTCTGCTTTAGTAATAACGGTTCGGGCGAGTTGGCACGGAACGCTATTGGCTACTCCAATCCGCTTGTCGATATATTCTTAAAATTTCCCATAATCAGTCGAAACAAATCTGAGGTACGTGAACTTCTACACTTGTTCCATTGCATTTCCGTTCATCTGCTGAGCGCAACATACCTCTAGGTCGTACTTATTAATTATGGAAAATGGAAAGAAATCGACTCAAATTGGAATAGTCAACGGCCTTCTGCGTGAACTAGCCCAAACATCGTGACTGAAGCAGAGCTGAGTCTGAAGAATATGCACTATGTGTAGAAGTCGATCTTGGGTGAACCATGAGTGAAAAACATTAATCACTGACAGAAGTCGCTGAAATGGATTTTCTGAGATCGCTGACCTCACCAGTCTCGACATAGTTCGGAAATCAGATATCGGAGAGTCTTCATGTAGAGCCGTTGCTTTTCCCGATTGAAAGTCAGAGCTGTAATCGTGTCGGCTAGAGCTTGGAATGCTACCGCATTAACATACCTACCTCTTGGTAAACTGACTGGTCAAGGACACTGGGATCGACCAAAAATAACCTGGAGTAAGCGTCTCAAGAGATTTTGATCAGGTTATCTTCTGCCGAAGATTAAATGCTGACATAAGATTGGCAACATTGGAAACATATTGACACATCTGCCACAGTGACTAGAGAGGATGTGAGGTCATAAAAACTGACCATGACATTTGTTATTTTCTATGGCCTTAAAATCACATATCAATAATCCAGGCTAAAGATGGACACGTAAATACAAAATCTAAGTTTAATATAGTCTCTCTGGATGCATGCAAATTACCAGATCTGGCTGAGTTTTCTAGCCGAAAAAGGGCATAAGCAAACAATTACAGCCGACGAATACCGGGAAGAAGCAACAAAGTACCAACTAGGATTTAGGTAACGTTCCTGAAGGTAGACTTGACTGTAATTTGCACGAACGATTCGAAAGGAATAACAGGCTGTGAATATTTAATGATTTTAATTATTAGCGTAACATGAAGAATTAAATACAAATAAAAGTTTAGGAAACCTCGCATATTTTATTACAAAATATTTTCAGTCCAGACCGGATAAAACATAGTACAAAAATATACTTTTATTAGTTTTTGAACAACTGTGCTTAAAGAAATGCACGCACATATATATAAACATAAATATATTAAACAATAACAGCTATTCAAGGAATAACAAAAACAAACAGCAACAGCAAAATCATCTGAGAACGAAGACACCAGGAAGTGCACACGTCGAAAGAAGTCTCTGACTCTCTCTTCTTGGACTGAGACATTAAAAAGTAATTCAAGGCACTGTGCCTCGCCGCTGCGAACGAAGGAATAAAAAAAATCACAAGAAAATCTGCTTAGCCTTGTAATCGGCCGGTAGAAACGACTGTGTTCGATTCAAGCCATCGGTTTTCTTTTCGCAGTCGGCTGGGAATATTCCAATAGTCAACGAATTGTCGACTGGTCGAGTAACGTGACTGATGGCAGACGGATCAAGCGACTTGGCTGATGTGTGGATGGCGTTAGAACCAAACACAGAAGTACGCATTCCACGAATGGACAAGTTGATGTTTTTTGGTATCTTCAACCGATCAGATAAAAAGCCGTTGATACTGCGCAAAAAATATCCGATTGTAATCCCCATCAGCAACGAAGGTACTAGCGTGAGTATAATGCAGTAGATGATACTGTCGTTTTTTTCCTGTACGACTACCGGAAGGCTTGTACCGTGAATCCTCGAAACTTTACCTGATAAACGATATAATCGCGATTAATGTTTAATAATGCTAATTTCAAACCAAAGGGTAGTTGAACTTTTATGCGAAAATTCAGTTCAAGATTCGAAAGTCTTTCTGGGATTATATATATATATACATGAAACAACTTTCACTATTGATGATAGAGCCTCCACTGCGCAGTCTGTACATAACTGTACCAAAGTATAGTATAACATTCTCTTTTATAACGTCTGATCCCCTGAGGATGGAACAAGCATGATCTGAATCGTTTGAGAATATTAATTTCGATATAGGTTTCATCCCGTAAAAGATTTGCGAATCTTGCGCATATCAAAAAATGCCAAATTTATACTTATGAAATTAATGATATCACGTCAGAAAATATTTATAAAAAACGTGCTTAACGAAAAACAGTATTCAGAACCGTTCTTACCTTGAGAGTAACTATCAGAATTGACGTATCCTAAATCAGCGCAGTTGCACTTCCGGTCTTCATAGACGAAGTCTGAAGAAAAGCAGTCAAATGAAATTATTATAAAAGACATCTTAGATCATTACTCTAATCTGCAAGGTCTAAAGATCCATTACGTCATCTTCGATAGCAAATACCTCATGTGTATACTGACCTTCACTGCAACTTTCACAGACGGTTGTGCACATTCTGAGTTACTCTCGATCAAACATCGAAAGTAACTTTAGACTCATCAACAAAATCTTTGTCAGCTCATAGTTTAAAATGATATTGAGATCTGCCAGACGATAAAAGGTGAAGAACAGATGCCAATCCTTTGTCGTATCACATTAAGGCTCTTTAATTCCAGATATAGACCTAAACTCTGAGGAGGCGAAATAGGAGGATAATGGAATATCAATGACCCATTTGTGCCGATTCCCATTTTTCCTGCTTTGAAACACGTAATGCATATGTCTGAACGAAGAGTGACATGTCAATAAATGAAAATTGAAACAGGTTATTGCTCAAATTAGCGAAAATAGTACTGACAGACATTTCAACAGTCACTGGCCCATATGTGTAACAAATACATACAATGCACAAAGAAGATGCATACTAAAGAGACAAGGAATTAAGAATGATGAAAGGGGGACAGATAGGTGAACAGAGAGTTAATGCAGATGAATACCAAAATACATGAGTTAACATGAGTGGATCGATTCGAACAAAATCCGTCTTAGCAACTGCTCGTTCCGTAGAAACCGAGCTTTTCGCGGAATCACTGATTTTCTGGACGCTTCAGTATTCACACAGATAGAGATATATTGGGGCTGTGTGGAAGGAGACCGTGAATGGCATCTTGAATGAGCCTGGGGAGAGGGATGGAGAAAATCAATCAGAACAGATTTACTTAGCTGTACAAAAGGTCTTACAGTCTGATTTTTCCCAAGATTTACACATGACGTGCTCTGCTGACAATTTTCATAAACGACAGAAATTCACACAGGTTCACTTTACGAAAAAAGAAGTATATTGGCGAAGCTCATGTAATTAGGGAACGTGTACGTGCACTGCAGTCGACTGGTAGTAGACTGTCGACAAGAAAGGGGCAAATGTTTCATCCCCAGTACCTCGAAACAAGGCAAACAGAATGACTGACGCGGAAGATGACAACAGACCGCGGCTCCATCATAAAGTTTGACTGGCAGAGGCAAGAAACTTGGGTACACAACCGAACGCACAGGAAACACTTTATCTTCGACTCGACAGAAACATCCAGGACATACTTCTGGTGCATCGTATACAATATGTGAACCAGATTCGTTCTCCAGAGGGCACTACGATCATTTGCTCTATAGGTGCCTGATAAAAGAAGGTAACTGGCTGACGGCGGCCAAGAATAAAAAAATCAGAGCCACATCACGTTCTGAATGCCACCTCCAGAAGTTTAGAGAAAATATGGTTGATGTGCATGATAACAATCATAGAACAGAGCTTGTAACCTGTGGAAACTCAGTCTTTCATAGTGCCATATTGTTATCGGGTTTATCGCCGTTACACAGAAATACATACAGCATACAGCGGTTGTACAATGCAACCATAATGTGCCCTCGCTGCTGGCAATGCAAAGGTGTGGATCACGTGACAGGACAATAATGATGCGGCAGTCGTGAAGGTTTTTCAAAAAAAAACACTGGAACGGTCCGACAACGATGCAGTGGTGCACAGGGCTGGTAGAGCTCCCTTAAAAAGGTGCCGTGCCTCTGTCTTATTTTAATTCTCGAAGAAATCGCGGTTAAATCGTTTCATCATTCTATTTGTCTTATAAAGGACGAAGAATGCCACTCATGTACAGGAAAAAAACGATAAACAAAAATTCTGATGATGCCTGATGGATGACGTCAAGAAATGCAGAAAAAATAATACGCTTCGTTCCATCAGAAAACCGCGTTTTGATCGTGTAATTTAACTCCTTCGTTATTAGAAAACAGTCGTACCTTTGAAACGGCCTGACTGATCCAAATTGTATGATTTTGTATCGCCGCTATTTTCGTTTACCGCTTCTTGATCTGTAAGTACTTGCATAGCAGTTTTAAACAAACGGAAATGTGACAAAGTACTTTCTGGTTCCGGTGGGCACCTCCTGCCGTAAAAATCTTTGCGAATATGCTGCAAAAGTTCGTTCTTCCTTTCTGAGCTGAAATGATACCGACATATGACTAGCGAAGTGTACGCACAACCGTTCTTACCCCGAATACTGACCAACGCACTGTTTCATTGTCAAATCCCACACGCAGTACGGATCCCTGGCCGCGATGCACTCCGTACAGCTTCTGGCCAAATCACAATAGTACAACGGCAGCACTCTGACCTCGTTCGAACTCATGACGACTAGCTTTGGTTCAGAACGTTCAGGTGGATCGCCAGCAGCCAAGGTTTTCTGTGGAGGCCGATATACGAAAAGCCGGGTGATGGGCGAGTGGTCAGCAAAGACCTGCACTTTTTCAATAACTATTGGGTCAGCCATCATTCCTTGGCCGACGTTTACCAGCTTTAAGACTTCCCCACTCTCTGAAACACAGATTAATGACAGGAATAACAGCAGCATCGTTCAAGCTTCTAGCCTGTCAGTACATATGAAACAAATCTAAATTTCTCGACGAGATCGCTTACACGGATGACATATGAAGGAATGCATTTCATCTTTTCAATATATGAAACACGACCATATCTCTCTGCGCCAATACCCCATAAGTGCTTCTATACGTTCTTTACTCTGCTACTTATTCGATTTTTGTTGTGTTTGTATTATAGTCCTGTGATACCATATAATGCTAAATACTTAATTTTCTGTGGCATGCTTTCTTCTAATATGCTGCAGATGGTATTCATCAGTGATGCAAATGAAGCTCAAAATCTTAATCCTCTATGGGTCAGAACTGGGAGAGAGCAACAAGCCAGCAAATGAACAATAAAAGGAATATATAGCAAAAAAATGCAAAAGTAAAGAAAACAAACAAATGGTGCAATATAGAAAATACAGCATCAGGTTACCTGCAACACGCAAGCAAGTAAGCTATGAGTACATTTTTTTCTGACTATCTACTTCAGTTTCTCGACAACCAACAAGCTGATTTTCTACTAGTCAGCAGACACATTTTCTCCCGAAATATGCCGCTCTTAATTGATGCGACAACAGCCGTGGAACTGCAAATTGCAGAGAGAAATGAAGCCCGGGAATCCGATAAATCGAAACTCTGGGAAGAAAAGTCAATGTGAGAGTCACAACTGATGCGTGCAAGTTTAACGTTACTGGCAAAGGCCATTTAGACTTTCCGCATTTTCTTAAACGTCACCTAACAAAACCAACGTGAGTCCTAATAAACACAAGGTTTCCAGCAGATATGATCTTTAGGCGCTGTACATAAGTTTTATCTAGGCTGCTCAGTCCATAGTGCCGGATTCAGATTGAGAGACCCCGGGTTCGAGGCCCGGTCTAAGATACTCGCCTTTCTTCCTTCCAACATTAATGAATAAGTACCCCTCTGTGGGAAGGAAACAACAGAATACAGCCTATGCTGGGCATATAGCTACTGTAGGTTGTCATATAAAAATAAGGCAATCCTGACTGCTGCCATAGAACTGAGCGCCCCACCATTAAATTTATGAAAAGAATGACGTCACCACATCATGAAATCATAAGGCCCACATTTCAACGGTTGAAAACTTCCCTTTATTTTTCTTCCTCTCACTGCATGGAGCCGAGATTCTGGGGTTACAAAATATGGTCATCGTCAATAACTCTGAGCCCTTTCGTACGACAAGCAAAAGTGACATCTTAAGATCAGTTGCACAGATTCACGAGAATAGTTATTGTAGCTGATATCACTCCTCTATCTGTTATTATGAACATAACCCTGACTACTCTCGTAGAACTGCCAAGTTTGGTAATGTAACGAAGCAACAAAAATGGCCGCTGAAAAGGTGATGACGGATATCACTTTCATTGAAAAATTAATCTTATTACTGGTATGGCTTGGCATGGAATAATATGTATGGAGCAAAACCTCGGTTCAAGGCTTTCGTACAGATCATGACGACCACCCATGCATAAATCGAATCGTCTAAGATTATGCTGCACTATGGTACAACGCCTGCGAATTAGCACTATGACAGCCAACGTACGAACAACTGGTACCTGTTCCAATGAAAACAACGTCGAAAGCTTGTCCGTCGAGCGACTGCACTTGAGAATCGACGACCACTTGGGTGAAGACGCTCCGAGAGCCCATTTTTACAAGAAGAGGCGTGTCAAATGCGTTCGGTACCACGTCGTTCATCAACGGATTTTTTGTAATAAAATTCACTACGTCATCATGCAATGCATGAGAATCTTCGACGCACTGAAACATGAATAAAAACATTTAGAAAAATTGCTGCAAATGCTAAATAAAGCTACAGAACAATCGAACAGGGAAAGAAAGAAAAGATGAATCAATCTGAGTTATTTTTAATTTTGAAATCATAACGATGTTGAAGTTTTTCGAGAATCCAATGCACAGTGTAAATGTGGACAGAGGCGAGTTCTATGGCTGCTAAAAGGCACCGGAATCATCCGCTCCGGTAGCGCAGTCATATCTTGAACAGTCGTATGTTAAGGGCTGAAACTGCCTCGACCTCATCTAGCCTTTCAAACTCTTTCTACAAGCTAGGAGGGTATCGAGAGAGAAAAAATGACGCACAACTTACGAACTTTAAATAGCTATAGTTTTGAGAGATTGCAAGTAAATCTGACCTCTTTACTATAGGAAGGACCGCCCTATCCGGTTTGCCTTGAAGTTAATCATCTCAACATGGCCACTAAGCAAATTTTCGTTCCTATACCACAACATCCATAAGCGTAGACTGGTTCAAACGCCACATGTCTAAAACGTAAGATCATACTGTGACTCTTCTTCTCCAAAACTCTGTCACCGAACTGCACGAAGACCGACTTCCATAAACCGTCACCCACAAACAATTCAACAAAGTAGAATAGAACTGGACGAGGATTCACAACCCGGAAGGAACTACAATTGTCAAAGAATTGATAAACCGATCAAAAACTGTCATAAATGCTGCGATGTAAATTCGCTTGGCATGTTCAAACTCAATACTTTGATTTTTCAACCATTCCACAAAATTAAATCATTTTCGTGTTTCTTACGAGATTTCTCCGCATAGAAATTTTTTACAGCAATGACTGACATCTCAAATCGTCTTGACTGGTTGTGAAGTAACATTAATATGTAAAAAGTATGGCGCGAAGCGTCGTTAATTTCTGGAATAAAACATATGCCCGGAGCAATCCCGTAAGAAACAAGACAACCATGGAATTAAGCTCCCTCAGAAATGAAGCCCTTCCAGTTTTCAAGTATTTCAACCTTATATCAAAAAAAATTCAAATGTACTAGAAAAACTACACCCATAGCACGAAAACAAATCTCGTAATTCAAAAAGAGGCAGTACAGCTGCACCAGCTTTGACCCTACTCACACGCAGCTCACCATCCTGACATTCTGATCGTTGCGAATACTGCTCTGGATTCAATAACGGTCTCGCACTCCCTGTATCTGAATTAAACTATTTGAGCAACTGAAAGAAAAAATGTTTTCAATGAACATTTGCAAACTTTACTGAAAAGCCAATAACTAAACCCTTGTAAAAACGTTTTTTTTTGAAGAATACCTACTACTTTAAAAGATGACTTATCAAATATGCCTAATCTAAATATAGACTCTTAAATTGCATCGGTCTTAGATCAGAGAAATTTGCTCTTATTCGACCGTAGCCAAGCAGAAACGACTTGACCAACGGAAATGTTGCGCATTCTAAAACGAACATTTGAAGCTCAGAAATCACCGACACCATACGCTGCATGTAGTGCGATAAAAACTACTGCAACAAGACAAACGTTGCTGTGTGCCATTGCAGCATCACACGTTAAAACATGTAGAAACTAATTAATCCAGGAATAGCATATAAAGACAAGTTTGTCGTTGATCACTGATATGGTTATGTGAAAGTGTCATGTGGTCATGAAAAGATAAATTTTCTTATTTTTGGGATTCTAACTCGTATCTGCGGAATTCACAGCTGATCTCTTACTGGGCTCCAACGCGATATATTAGACAGAGACATTGTGAAGCCAAAATATTGATACGTGTTCACTTGCCACGGTCTACACACTCAAAAATGGCTTTGCTTCAAAATCTGAACTGATGATTTAAGGAACAGTCGGAAGAAATGAGCAGACTTACGGAGCCTGGTCGCGGCTTTGGTATTTCTGAATCCATGAGCGTCTGCCAACTTGAGTACGGCGAATCCTGGGCTTTGAAACCGCTGTTCGCAAAGATGTCACGAATCTTGCTCATCTGAAAAGCGCAAACGGCTGATCCGGGAATACGGTTGTATGGACTGTTGAACAGCGCGTACACCAGTTCGTCGTCGCGGCTTTCGCTGTACGGTGACTTCGATGTGGCCACTGAAAATAAGGTACATATACGAAATAGGTGAGTGAAAAGTGCATGGATAATAAATTAGCACAACATCAGGAATGACGCCGTTCACTGACTGTCACAGTGAATAAGTAGCCATCAGGTGGCTAAGGGCAAATTACAATCCTATGAAGCGCTCGCATCAGACAGCATGACCGCATATCTCGCACACGCTGGCGGTGACAACACCCAAACACCATGCTGCCCCTGCCCTGTCATTCGCAAGTCAAGTATTCGCTGGTTGCACCAATCCAACTGGTGTCAATTCCTTGCTAAAAGAAATTAGCAGTTAAGACTAATGTTTTGTTTTACGAAATAGATCAGTCCATCAAAGCGTTACTGATGAAGAGTGATATACGAGGCTAAGCATCCTCGAAACTGTGATCATACCGTTTACGGTTGTACGTTAACGATTTAGGTTAACGCTTAGCATGATTTCGGATGGAGACCATGTAGAAAAAAATAATATCCCGATGTTTAACCTGGAATGGGAATGAAGAGGAATACCAAGACAATACTGATGAATAACATTACACAGCGGGTACAGCAAAATGTGATTCACATATATATATATATATACACGGGCACTTGCAACATTAATAAACTTCTTATCTGGCTGTTCGCTCTCTTAGGCACAATGTTGGACATGGAAACTTCCTGGAAAACGTTAAGGCATAAAGCAGATAGAAATAACAATCTGCGAACCGGTTCTAACGAGTCCACCTATGTAAACAACGTTTCTATGCCATCTAGATTTTCCGGTGGATTCTCTTCGTTGTTCAAGATCTTGCTGACGAAGCGAACCGTACTCACCATTTTATCCTTTATCAGTGATGAGGGAATATCCTGAAAGCTCGACTTATCGGTAGGTGTCAGTGACGTAATTCAACAGTAAATTCAACGATCCATGATTCCTGAGATTCAGGGCCTTGAAATAAATGGGAGCTGTGTAGACAATCACCAGGATGACGCAGGTTCGCACAAACGAATCACGTGCGGAATGTCGAAGATGTCGAATGAGTACTACATAACCGACGCTGCATGAAGAAATCGCTGCAGCTATATCGAGGTCGTAAAACGGAAAGAATAACGTTGCTTTCAAAACGGTAGCTTTTGTTTTCATCTTAGATTAACCGAGCTTTCCACAGACCTTTGCAGATTTCTAACTTTTGCTGGTATGAAAACTTTCCGCTGACTTACGAATGAGTCGCAGTCTCCATAGTTGGGAATGATTGAACCGATACTTGAAACGGTCAAATTCATTCACCGTCGAACCATTCCATCTGACCTTAGCAGCTTTAATTACTGCTGGTACTCCCTGCTGTTCTGACTTTCGTCCGGTTGATTTCCAACCACATCTCTGTCTTGCTATAAACAGCAGAGGTGAGGCCTTCTCCAAAATATAGTGCCGTCGTGCGCCTACTCCATATGGGCTAGATACCGATGGATTTCTTAGGCCTCACTGAATAAGACTAATAATCAATATTTCTACAAGAACGGCTTTACGATGTGC